AGCCAGTTGCACTTTGATCAGGATGCGTCCATGATAGGCCACTGGAGCAGGAGGAGGTTCTTTGTTCCATAATCATCACATGTTCCTTGTTAGCAGGAGCCACCCGTCTGCTCCTCTTTGGCTGCCCTGCATTTTCCTAGGAGTTCTCCCTCCCTTGCAAATGCCTGTGCAAAGGCTATTTGTTTTTGCTAAAGTTTTACTGATTAAATTTGTTAGAATAGTAAAATTATTTATTTATTTATTTATTTCAAGATTTATGAGGCTGCTTGACTCTTGGTGTGACTCTGGGTGGTGCATAACAAAAAACACAATAATAACTAGCAACAAATAACCAATGTATAAATACAAAAACTAAAAGCTAAAATGTAAAATGGCAACCAAGCATAGAACAAAACAAACCTCAGAGAAGGGACTGCCAGTCAACCACTCCCTGATGCCTGGGGGGAAGAGCCAGGTCTTACGGGCTTTCCTAAAGGCAAGGAGAGTTGGGGCCTGTCGTATAAATAATCAGACTCTGCTGAGAATGCAGGAAATGTTCTTGCAGCAATGCTTAAGAGGCTGGGGGAAAGCATTCCAAAGACCCTCACCATCTTTTGGGATAGCATGATCTTCCCCGTTTCTGTTTTCCAGAGTCTGGTTTTAGTGGTACAGGTAGTCCTCGCTTAACGACCACGATAGGTACCAGAAATTTTTTTGTTAAGCAGGGCAGTTAAGTGAGTCACACCTGATTTCACAACCTTTTTTGTAGTGGTCATTAAGCAAATCACAGCTGTTAAGGGAGGTGGCTCCCTTATTTTTAACATTTTTTTTCCTCTTGGTTTTATTTTGCTTTATATATTTTTAATGTATTTATTTATTGTTTTTAGTTTTGTTGTATGCCACCCAGAGTTGCCTGTGGTGAGATGGGCAGCTATATAAATCGGTTTAATAAATAAATAAATCATATGGTCATTATGCGAATCACACTGTTCCCATTGATTTAGCTGGCCAGAAGCTGGCTAGAAGGTCACAGATGGTGATCACGTGATCCTGGGATGCTGCAACTCTCATTAAGTGTGAGCTGGTTGCCAGGTGCCCGGGTCATGATCACGTGACTGCAGTGGTGCTGTGACGGTTGTAAGTGCAAGGACCGGTTGTAAGTCCCTTCGTTCAGCACTGTTATAACTTTGAATGGTTGCTGAATGAATGGTCGTTAAGTGAGGACTACCTGTACCTGCTACAAAGGTATGCAGAGAAAATGAAAGGAGTCCCCATTCCGCCTCCTGTTGTACCGCAATCCTTTGCAGTACAGTTGTAGCTACGGAATGGGCTTTTTCTGTGGTGCTTTTACAACTTGGCACTGAAGCTTATTTGAGAACTTTTCTGAGTGGCTCAGATGTGATAATAAAGAGAACAAGGGATGCCCCAGAAGATGGGTTGAGCTAGATAGTGACTAAACATGGCTTTTGATCCATACAACAGTCCCTGTGATTAGCTATAGCTCTACTATATTTCAGCTGTTGCCCCCCATCTCCAGTCTGCTGAAGCCCAGGTTTTCCTGTTGAGTTACAGCCTAGACCAGCTCACTTGCCTGCATAGGAAAGAGGAGGGGGTTATAGTGGCCTGGGGGTGGCTCCTGAGTCAGGCAGCCAGATGTCCCAAAGTAGGCTTGACTCTGCTGTGGCTGCTTTATTTCACTTTCCTGGACATGAGATTGGAATCCGGGCTCTGTTCTTTTACAGTCTCCACTGAGTTACTGGTCAGGTTACAGGCATCCTCCTCCATAGCGTTTTTTGTTTTAATTCCATTGGCTCCCCTCCAAAGCTTTTACTGCTACCCCCATGCTAACAATAAATATAGCATGTATGGCATTGTGAGCGACATCTGTGTGGGAGGACTGGAGTTTCTGTACAACTCTGGGCTTTTTTTGATGTGGAGTCCGTCAGTTCTCTGGGCGGCCTCTCAGTTTTGAACTGGGGGGGGTGCCTAATGCTTGGGTTTGAGTTCTTTTTATGCTGGCCCTTTTCTGTTTCTCAGACAAACTGTTTAATTCCAACTGTTTTGGACGGTCAGGCAATTCAGTCTTGTGGCATTGTAACAGGAGGCAGAGATTGTCGGTCGGGGGACGGGGATACTGCAGATTAGGCTGTGCTGTGCAGGAAAGGGAATGGAGTAGGCTAAATGCTGTCACTGGGCCCTTCCTGTCATCAGCAGCTAGTGATTGGGCATCCCATTTATGAGAGCTTTTTGAGCCTTGTCCCAGTGTGGGCCACCACGTTCCTTCTATTGCCCTCCAGATTGGTCCTGTCTTCCCCCTCCCCCTGCCCAGTATTCCACTTTTGTCCGGCCGCCTGTGCGTTTTGCTGGCATCAGCTGCAGCGTGCAGAGGCCTCCCTGCCTTTCTTTCTCTGCTGAGTCTCGTCTGTTTTTTAATAAAGGAGAATAAAGCCAGAGGCCTCATTAGAAATAAACTCCGGGGCTTGTATTCTCCTACGGGCTCAGCAGTCGCTAGTATTATTCAGAACACTTATGTAAGCTGTTTCTCTTCTTTTAGACCTTGTAATTTAGATTTTGTGTGGTTATTGGGCCCTTTGTTTCTGTTTCTCTTTGGGGGGGGAATGGTTTATTTTTAGATAAAGCTATGATGCAACTGCACACAGGTCTATAATTTACCTGTGTACTTATATATAAGCAGAGTAGGCCTCTAGATTCTTTGGACTGTTGAAAGCATCATCCTGAAGCAGCTTGGCCAATGGTAAGGACAGCAGTCCAGAAATCTGCAGAGTATCCAGTGAATCATCCAGTGAAAAGTAAATAGCATCCTTTCCCCCACTAAATTCAGAATAGGACATATGAGGATACCAAGTTATACACCTGTGTTTGCAAAGTGGTGGCCTGATCTGTAATTCAGTGACAGAGGATGTGTTTTTCCATGCAGGCAACCCTCAGGGTTTCCAGCTAGGCTAAGAGTTGTGTCACTACTGTTGGAGCCCCATTGCCACTCAGAGAGCTGAAGGCTGACCTAGCAGGTTTCCCAGGGCAGTTTGGGCCTCTGTTTACTCTTTATCGATGAGTAACTGTGAGGGAGGTGATAGTTCTGTGAAAGCCACCTGATGTCTCAAGGCCCAGGTGGGTTTTGATCCCTACTCCAAATGTAACATTATTTTTCATACCATGTGTCTATATTGGCTTCTGTTTGTAACCCTAATAGGTCCTAACCTGGCACATACCGCCAGCTCTGTTCTTTTACGTGGGAAGCAAGACTACTGTTGTAATCCAGAATGCTGGAAACTGATTTGTAGATGGATCACTGTCCTTGGAGTAACAGATTTCCTCCAGTTAGGTGGCTGCCTGGAGAGTAGGGAAGTCAGGAGAGGCTCTCAGCTGATTTGCTGAGTCAGGTCTGGCTAGGTTTTGCCTGGAGAGCTAGCTTCCAGGAGCATACAGGAACATGAATTGAAAGCGAACTTTGTCAGCACCTGTGGAAGAAGCTTCCTCTGCCTTGAGTTATCTCAGAGGTTGACTTGTTTTCTTGGCAGAAAAGCCTTCTGCAAAAGGTGCCCCAAATCGGTTAGCTTTTTGCTGGCTTGAATCTTCAGCTGGCCTAAGTGCCAGGTCTGTTGTCTGAAAACGGGGTTTTAACGTTTTGCTCAGTTGACTTCTTTATGCTTAGGTTCTTCAAAAATGGTTCAGATGCTCATCCTTTAAACTACTAAAAGAAAAAAACAACGGTTTATTGAAGATGTTTCCCAAAAAGAAATGCAAGAGAATTGTGCATTGTTTTTCAATATATAAATTACCCATTTGTCTGCATGGTGAGTGATGCCTCTAAATACAAAGAGAAGTTGTAGGATATCAAACACTATGCTTGTTGCTAGGGGAGAGGTAGGCAACCAGAGCAGACATCAACCCGTTCATGGGAAGGCTTGCCACCATCCCTGTTAAGTCTCTTCCACACAGGTACTGGACATGGAGATGCATCTCTCTTGCTTTTTCCTAGTCTTCTGTTTCTTTTCAAAACTGTAATGTACTTCAGAGAGAAATGGCTTAAAACCAGGAGGATTCTTCTAGTGATGAAGAACGTAGTCTTGTTTTTTTCTTCACTTGGAAGAAAGCAGATCTTCTCTGGAGCTGCCCAGTTGCAACAGTCATAGTGCAGCAGTGTTTGAGCATGTCCCAGGTGAGGGTTGAATACTCCAGCCTGACACTTTTCCTCATCTTATATCTTATGGAGTGGCCTACCCACTCACCTGGTGGAAGTACGTAGAGGCTAAGATACAACAGTAACAGATGAGTTTCACTGCAGAAGTTGAAAAGTTTGAAACATGTTGCCGGCCTGTTGTGGCAGACGAAGTAGCTCTACTTGGTCTTACAGTTTGCACCAATAATCATTGGAAACCCTAGCCAGTCATTTAAATTTGCTGCTATAGCTGAGCTACGTTGCAGAGCTGCGTGAGTCTTCTTCCATTAGGGCCGTACAGGGCTTTGAATTCAAAGCCAAAAAGGTGCTTCAGGGTGTGTGTGTGTGTGGGGGGGAGTTCTTTCATAGCACCTGTCTGCTGCTACTTAGAGCAGCTGTGTCTTTTCCTGGAACTGCACAGATGCCCATGGCAGTTGTAGCGCAGTCCCAGGAAAAGAAATGCTCTTGGGTTAAGGAGTTGCAGACCATTGCTACGGAAGTACCCTCAGTTACTCCAAAGCACCATAGATCTGCACAGTCCTGCCAGATGCAACATTGTGTCAAACAGTAATTAAGTTTCCTTTATGGTTTGTAATGCAAAATCTGAATCAATGTCTGTCTATACTTGTATTGTTTAAGCTTGATTTTATTTGAAAGCTGAGTAGCATGCCAGTTTCAAAATTAAAATTGGTATGTCAAAGCAATAAATTTCTGCCTTATATGTGGTGATACCATAAATGTCTCCAGCATAGATCAATGGCAAGTGGGTAGAAAGTAATGTTTTATTGTAAGAAAGCTTCCACTATTCTTCTTTAATGAGGCATTTCTCTTTTTCTTTCAGGAAATGCCCAACTCTGTCTTTCTAGTGATGGAGGTGTGTATTTATGATTTGGATTTCTTTGTGACTGAATCTGAGTTATTTTTCCCCTTCAGGATAAGTTCCTCCACCCCACAAAACCATCTGTGGTTTCTCCTGAACTGTTCTAAAGTTAGTAGATATGGTACAGCACCATTGAAAATTCACCCCAAAATAATTTCAATCCACAGGTTTTGAATTCCAGTTCCTAGTGTTATGTGATCTATGCTGCACGAGAGTTGCTATTTGATGTTGGATAGTTACAAAAGTTGTTATTAAAAGCCGTCCTCTTTTTTCTTCCATATATTGCCATGCAAACATAGAACAGACCAAGAAATGTCTCTGTGGATTAGGGGGAGGGGCACGTAGTGTCGTGAAAGAATTTTGAGAAAAGGAAGTATGGGGTGGGGGTACAATTAGCAATGGCTGAGAAAGAGAAACTTCAGCGGTTGAGAAACACAGGAAAGAAAATCAGATTTTCATTGCGCTGTTCCTTTTTTAAAAGTCTGCACATGTGATAACCATCAGCCTTGGTAAATTTCAGTGCTTGGAGAGGATTGTTCTTTCTAAGCTTGTCATCAACCCTTCTTAGTCATCAGTATCAGCCAGTTGAGCTGATGCGGTGCAGTGGCAAAGCTTGAAAGATTGTGTTTATACAGGTGACAGTTGCATGCTTTCAGATGCACCAGGCGAAAAGAAGGCATTGGGTTGGTTTCAGGTGTGGATACTAGCTAGTTGGAATGAAAATGGCCAGGAGATCATGGATATTTTTCCAGGCTTATTTCCAGTATCTCTTATTTCAGGCTCAGAAGATTTGTCAAGGGGCTTGAACCAACCAGCTAGTATCCACCCTGAAACAAACCCTGTATCTTCTTTTTGTGTTGCTTGTCGTTTTCCCTGCTCTTCTTTCCCTAATTTTTTTCTCCTTTACAATGAGGAACACTTTTTAAGTCCCACCAACCCTAATATGGCAAGTGATAAAAACAGGATTTGTCTGTGGTCCAAGTGCAACTCCAGCTCCACGGCACAATTAAGGTTGCTTTGACCCACTACTGACTGTCTCTGGTTACTAAAAACTGGGCTGCTTATTTCTCTGTACTATTAAACATCCAGTACTTACTAAGTTCCATTAAATGAAAGCATCAAAATATTTGTAATTCTCTAAACGTTGCGTCTGCAGTTGTACGAATAATTTCACAAAAACCTATGCGGCATTTCAATCAGCAGATGCTTATATTTTTTCCTGGATTGTTAAATCATCAAATATGTGGGCCTGGTGCAGATGTAACGCTGTAGTCCCACAACCTGGAGAAGCAGTCTTGCGTGTCCTTTCTGTCACCTCCTTACACGCAAGTTTCCTGTTGTTGTTTTAATTTTCAAAGTGTGGTCATTTTGCTGTGTTATGTCTGTGGTGATATTCGCTAATCATGGTTATAACTCTAAACCATGATTTATACCCAAGATTACAAGCTGATTTAGTGGGCAGTGCCAATAACAAGCAGAAGACCCCCACAGTTCACTCTGAAAACGAAACCAAGAGAAAGATCTTTAGACAAGAAGAGAAAGGAAACCAGTGTGTGTGTGTGTGGGGGGGTGTTCTTGATCCAGGGGATGTACAAGATGTGTAGCCAGCCTTTAGGGCAAATAGGCTAAGCTTTACAGCCTTCAGCCAATCTGATCCTAGTCCTCCCTTCTCTTTCACAGTATTGCAATGGTGGAGACCTAGCAGATTACTTGCAAGGTAACAGCTCTTGCTCTTTATCTGCAGCCCTGTGGTGGTCAAGTGCCATCGCTATCCCCTTTGGCGTTCCTATCTTGCTTCTTTGTAGCAGAGGGGTGGGGAAGGGGTGTAGTGCTCTTGATGTTTTTAGCATGCTTTTCCCAAACTACCAGAAGGTATGGAAGTTCAATTTGTGTACAGTCCATGCTTTCTTTAAATACATTTGTAAAAGGAACTACATCAGCATTACTGGAACAGGAAGCAAGACATCGTTCTCAGTGTTTATAGTTTGGCCTGGGAGATAGTTGCCCTTATTTTGATTTCCTGAGGCCCAGTTCTAGACATTTCCTATGTTATCTGGAGCAGGCGGGACACACTTTTTGAAAGAAGGCATTCTTCCTCCGGGGGATTTTGGGGCTGAGGAGAAATACCTTAAGGGCCTAGTGAGCAGTAAAGTTCAGGGTGGCTATTTTTGGACTGCGAGCATCATTGCACAGCTGCTGTGGGAAAGTTTGAGTGATGTTTTGTGCCCTTCAGAGCCCAGCATGGCCCTCTTCTCTGTGTTGGGTGTCAGCAAGTGTGAGAAGACTCCTGCTTGGGGCATTAGATTGGCTACGCTGAGAAGCAGGGTGTTGGGCTACAAAATTCTGGCCTAATGCAACTGGGCTTTTTTAAAATTCAAGGCGGGTGCTGGTATAAAGTACTTCTTTGTGCCACTGGCCACATACTAGGTGCACAGCACCTCACTATTTCTGTTGTTCTGTACAGTCTGTTGCCCTCCAGGTATGCAGGATATGACTCCTGTTTTCCTTGTCCCATGCTGTTATTGGATATGGAAGTCAAAGTCCAGCACATCAGCCACACATGCCTGTCGTGCTTCATTCTAAGTCTAGACACCTCTGGCTGCAGCGGCCAGATAAGGTGCAAGGTTTAAGGTGTGTTCATAAAAGCTTCTTGCACAGAAGAGGCACCTTTCTCAGATAGATGTTAATGCTTCATAGCATTTGTATTTAATGGTCTTCTTGAATTTGCCAACCAACCAACCCCAGTTCTCTATATTGATGATATTACTCAGTATGATGATAATCTTCCTGGATTTTTCATTTGAGGATGAGAAATATTATTATAAAGGGGAATCAAGGATAATCCAGCCAGAGTGGAATCCTTTGAAATTTTGTTTGTATTTAGAGAGTCCAGACTGATCCAAACATACACATAACAGTTCCACCAGTATTTATGTAGGTTTTGAAATGCTGAAGGCATTAAACAATTTTACCCTACCTCCTCATCCTCTCCCAGCAAAAGGAACGCTCAGCGAGGATACCATCCGCGTGTTCCTGCAGCAGATTGCGGCTGCCATGCGTGTCCTCCATGGCAAAGGCATCATTCACAGGGACCTGAAGCCGCAGAACATCCTGCTGTCATATGCCAGTCGCAGGAAGTCGAGCGTCAGTGGCATACGCGTCAAGATAGGCAAGTCGGCGCTGTTGCCCCAGCACAGACTTGAGGAGCTCATCCTCAAAAGTTACTTTGAAAAGCCACAGTGACCTGAAAAAGCAGGTCTCTTACTTCACCGGTGGTGTTGTTTATGTCCTCTGCATATGATGGCACTTTGATTTGATATATTCCTCAATATACCGAGCACGAGAGGTTAGCTATGACTGACTACAGCCTGCCGTTTGGGCAGTGCATGAAACTTCTCCAACAATCAGCAATAATGTTTCATTCCCAAAGAAGATTTGAACAAGGCAGATTCTTGTTTGCATTCATTGACCTGCTTCAGTCAATTCATAGCTGGCTGGGAATCATCCCTGCTCATTCCAAGTTCCCAATGCAGCAGCTTGGGAGATGCTGGAAACAGTTGTTATTAAAGAGATCCTGGCATCTTTATGTCACTTCCACCTTCATTTCCTGACTGGCTGGGAGATGTGGGAGTCAAAGCCACAGACCTTCAGAGGTTCCAGGTTGGGAAAGGTTGGGCTACATGGTGCCTGCCTACGTCCTCTCATTTTTGCAATTGAGAGCTCAACAATGTCTGCTTTTTTTTAAGCAGCTGACTTTGGATTTGCCCGTTATCTCCAGAGCAACATGATGGCGGCCACCCTCTGCGGCTCCCCAATGTATATGGTGAGTGAAGTCTCCTTGGGTTTTTTTGCTGCTGTGGTAGGGCTTTGCAACTAGCATTTTTGGTTAGAGCAGTTTCAACTGTGCATATGTCACTCACTTCTGTAAAGTGGCTCTGTACTGTGCCTGGAGAACAGAGGATGAAATCCAGTGACTTGCGAAAGGCCAGCTAGAGATCTCATAGCAGAGATGAGACTTGAACTTAGGGGTTCAAAATTCAAAATTTAGGCCCTTACCTGTCTCTGTTTCATTGGATACATTTATGTCACTATTAGCCAGACTATTAACTCAGTTTCTGAATTAGCCCAGTGCATTGAACCATAAATTTATCAAACACCTGGTTAATGCTAGCTAAGCTTTTTGATATTTGTACAAATGCAGCTGCTAGGTCTTTTAACTGACCAGGTTTCTTTGTTTTAATTAATTAATTAATTAATTAATATGCCGCGCATCTCCCCCAGAGGATGACTCTGGGCAGCTTATAATTAAAAACCAAGACAATAAAACAATAAAAATATACAGTGGGGCAAAAAAGTATTTAGTCAGCCACCAATTGTGCAAGGTCTCTCACTTAAAAAGATGTGAGAGGCATGTAATTTTCATCATAGGTATACCTCAACTATGAGAGACAAAATGAGAAAAAAAATCCAGAATTTATTTGCAAATCATGGTGGAAAATAAGTATTTGGTCACCTACGAACAAGCAAG